TATAGACTCAGATATAACCGGCTAGTGTTTACCTATTCACGAACCCAGTGAATTCTAATAGATTCAAATATAAATGATCAATATTTATTTACACCTGCACCCAGGAAATGATTATAGACTCAAATACAGGGTGAAGGATGGACGTTTTTCAAATGGCTATTGCTCAGCGGAGAGGGAGGTTTTTCAAATGGTTATTACTCAGAGGGAGAGGGACATATGTCCGATACATACCATTGGGTCCGTGGTGTCTTAGTATTTTTTCTTTTCAGTTGAAGCCATGGCGCTGTGGATGATAGAGGATCGCGTGTTCAAGTACGACAGTTTCTTTGATAACGAATCTGTCACAGGAGTTCAGCGTGAGTTTTGTCGCTGATTCAACATTTACCGAAACCAGTATGTTTCTACTCGTAATAAAATCTAATGTTGTGTTAATGCACTTCGTACATGAGGTACACTAATGAATAACAGACCGGTGAGGGCACCATGAACGGTATGTTTCCCAGAAAATGTGGGACGCGTCAGATAAGCTTTGCTGAGGAGTCTGAATCGCTCTACTCGGAGGCATTCTACTGAACTTGGCATCGATAATCGTTGGGTAAGGCTTATTTTGCATGAAGAACAGCATTTTGATTCCTACAAATTGGTCCCTGGGCAACAGTTAAGACCAGGGGACTATGCACTGCGGCTTAACTTTGCACGTTAGATGGAAACAATTTTTGAGGCAAATGATAACAAGTAATGAAGCTCATTTTCATCTCAATGGCAATGTGAATCAACAGAACTGTCATTATTGGGCTCTTGAAAATCCGAGAGAGCTTCATGAAAGACTACTGCTCATTCCAAATGTGACGGTTTGGTGTACTGTTAGAAAAACTGGCGTCTTTGGTCCTTATTTTTTGAAGATCATAATGGAAATGCTGATCCTGTGAACTCTGAGCGTTACATCGAGACAATAAACAACTTGTTTCGTGTCTGAATTACGACGAAAACTTATTTCTATTTGACGTGTATGGTTTCAGTAGGACGGGATGACGGCCCACACAGTCAGTCCATCAATGGCCGTTATTTGCCCTGACTTCGGTGTCCGCCTCATTTTCAGATTTTCTAAAATTCCTAGCCCCCCCTCGGTCCCCTAGTTTGTCCATGTGTGATTATTGCTTGTGGGGAAACCTCAAGGCACGTGTGTATGAGCATAAGCCCCGTATATTGGACGATTTAAAGGAAGATATTCGCGTGGAAGTCGCCCAAATCGACAAAGCAATGCTGGAAAGAGTGGAGGCCAACTTCCAGATCGCCTTCAGAAATGCATCAATGAAAACGGATTCTACATGAGGGATATTGTTTTCCACTCTTGATTTTGTAAAATGCTAATTTAATACGAACATATTAATGTTAAAAAAAAGGTTTTTTGAAGCTTAAATTAATGATGTGAATTATTTAAAAAACTTCCATCCTTTCTGCCTCACTCTGTATAGACGACAAATATTTACCTATTCACGAACCAAGTAAATTGCTTGTAGACTCAAATCGAAAACCCAATATTTACCAATTCCTGTAGGCTCAAATAGACAAGGTGAATATTTACCTCATCTGAAAACATTTATAGGCTCAAATATATTAAATCAATATTTATCTCTTCCCGAAACAATATTTATCTATTCCTGAAATAAGTCAATGTTTACAGACTCAACTCTAATTATGAAAACTGATTTCAACTCTAAATAACCCAATAGAGGTTGACAGGTCGTATAATCAACCAGCCAGAACCTTGAATCAGACGAACGTAAAAGTACAGATAAAAGATGACAATGGTCAGGGTCTAAACTTTAAAAGGGATAAACTGAGATCAACGCATGAATATTATTTGAAAAAAAAAAATACAAGGGATAAATTGAAATTAATTCAAGGTTTTGACATATCTTAATATTTTTTAATAAAATCTACCACCTGCATTTCTTGGATGTAGAATTATTATTACTGGCATTATTTACAGTCGAAACAATGTCTTAATCATTGTTGTTATTATGACAACGTTTTGGCAGCCGGGCTCACTAGCCTTCTGTCGGTGTCTGTCTCATGTGACAATAGGGTAGGTCGATTTTGAAACCGTGGTATTGCACTCAATTTAAAAGTTGAGGTTTGATATGATAAATAATGACACAAAATACTTTTTCCAAATTGTTAACGTTTTTTGAAGAAACGAGTTTAAAGATTAAGTTTATGTTCAAAATCGTTGCGTTGGAATTTCATTCTGGTGATCAGTGAAAGCCTTATATAATTGACTGAAGCTTTACAAATTGTATATAGAAAAGCTGCAATGCGCACGCGCACATTATTACTAAATCATTGTGTCATTAAATAAGACCTTCATTTACTTCAAAGAGAAATTATACTGAACGATTTATGATATATTTATATTATACAATACAGTAGTCTTAGTATGATCTTCAATAAACAATGCAATTTTTAAACATTTTGTCATATAATTCGTGCCCAGTATTATTCTGGTGTTATATACACTTTTATCAATTTTTTTATTAATTATGATCCAACAAATGATCTAACAAATCTTATTCACTGAGTAGCCTTTTTGCAACCTATTACAATTATTTTACACAGTTTTTACTTGTCCTGGGTATGACGATAAACTACATCCGCGTCCAGGGTAAGACGATAAACTACATCCAACAGCAAGGCCTCTGATCAGGAGGTTTTGAGGAGCGTGGGACCACCTCTTAATTGCCGGTGTTCCCAGGTCCACCCTGCCCCGGGGTGGTAGCACCTGTTAGGGTCCCAGCTATGGGCAAATAGTTAACCCCGAAACCGAGGTAAAAAGTATTGTAAAAGTATAAAAATAGGTTTTAATGCTAGAAACACTTTGCAAAAAATTATTACCAGAAATAAATTTTTTAAAATAATATTACCAGCAATACATTTTTTAAAATAATATTACCAGAAATAAATTTTTTAAAATAATATTACCAGCAATACATTTTTTTAAAATAATATTACCAGCAATACATTTTTTTAAAATAATATTACCAGCTATACATTTTTAAAATAATATTACATATACATTTTTTAAAATAATATTACCAGCAATACATTTTTAAAATAATATTACCAGCAATACATTTTTAAAATAATATTACTAGCTATACATTTTTAAATAATATTTTTTTTTAAAATAATATTACCAGCTATACATTTTTAAAATAATATTACCAGCAATACATTTTTTAAAATAATATTACCAGCAATACATTTTTAAAATAATATTACCAGCAATACATTTTTAAAAAATATTACCAGCTATACATTTTTAAAATAATATTACCAATATACATTTTTAAAAATAATAACCAGCAATACATTTTTATAATAATATTACCAGCTATACATTTTTTAAAATAATATTACTATACATTTTTTAAAATAATATTACCAGCAATACATTTTTTAAAATAATATTACATTTTTTTAAATAATATTACCAGCAATACATTTTTAAAATAATATTACCAGCTATACATTTTTTAAAATAATATTACCAGCAATTTTTAAATTTTTAAAATATATTTTTTAAATAATATTACTAGCTATACATTTTTAAAATAATATTACCAGCAATACATTTTTAAAAATAATATTACCAGCTATACATTTTTTAAAATAATATTACCAGCAATACATTTTTAAAATAATATTACCAGCAATACATTTTTAAAAATAATATTACCAGCAATACATTTTTAAAATAATATTACCAGCAATACATTTTTAAAATAATATTACCAGCTATACATTTTTAAAATAATATTACCAGCTATACATTTTTAAAAATAATATTAAATACATTTTTAAAATAATATTACCAGCAATACATTTTTAAAATAATATTACCAGCAATACATTTTAAAATAATATTACCATTTTACATTTTTAAAATAATTTACCAGCAATACATTTTTTTAAAATAAATTAGATTTTTAGATTTTTGACAAAACAAAATCTTACTAGGAAAAAAGTTGTCGGCATTAAATAACCCATTGATGTTGATATGTCGTAAAACACAACAAATCAGTTTTTACTTATCGAATACAGTAAAAAATTGCATATTTTGCTTGTGATCATTCATAATTAGAATTCTGGTTTGAATATATTTTCCATTCAATATATCTAAGAAAAATATATCAACTTATTTGGATTTATTCTTGAAATAGCAACATTTTGATGTGAGTTTGTAAGCAAAAACGTGGAGAAATTAGTCATTTCTGTACAATTGTTCAAACGATTTTCAAACTAAATGCTCAAAAACCGATAAAAGCTATGGATCTAATTTTTGGTGACAGTACTTACCTCAGCTGTTATATTGAGTACAATGTCGATTTTCTAAAAGAAGTGAAAAATCAACCTGTCCTAACGTAACAATCGCCTAGGAATTTAAAGTATTGATTCGTGAATTTCGGGGCATAGAAATTGTGAGTTCAATCTCTGGGCCGGGTACTACAGACTCATACTCAGTAGCAACAGGAATAGCCATAAGTGGGCAGTACTAAAAAAAAGCAACAAAAATACAAATGTAACAAAGCGAGATATCCTTAAACATGGACAGAGTTCAGTTCGATATTCTATGAAGATCAATCGTTTCGGGAGAAATCGGAAGAAGGTCAGAGAGCAAAACGACCGAAACATAATAACAACAAAGATGACTTTAGCCCGACTGGAAATGAAAGAATATAATAATAACACTGCATGTTTAAGCAGTTACGCGTTGGTTTCATAAATATAACTATTGTATGTTGATGGTTAGGGTATCGTGCAAATCCAAAGGGGTTCGTCTCGATAATACTATTACATGGACAACCTACTGATGGCTATCCTGCGCATATAGAGAGTTTCATCCATCAAATTTCATTGTCCTGAACAGCATACTGAATGTGACAAATTTCCGAGTCTCAAAAGCTAGGCAAAGAAAAGTGAAAAAAGCAGGCAGAAAGTTAGGAAGGAAGGAAAGAAAGAAGGAAAAAAGGGAGGAAGAAAGGAAGAAAGGATGGAATGACAGAAGACTGGAGGGAAGGAAAGAAGAAAGAAAGGAAAGGATGACGGAAGGAAGGAAGGGAGAAAGGAAGGGAGGGAAGAAGGAAGGGAGAAAGGAAGGAAGCAGGAAGGAGGAAGAAAGGAAGAAATAAAAAAGGAAGGTAGGAAGGAAGGAAGAAAGGAAGGAGGGAAGAAAGAAAGGAAGGAAGAAAGGTAGAAAGAAAGGAAGAAAGAAAGAAAGAAAGAAAGAAAGAAAGAAAGAAAGAAAGAATGACGACAGGAAGAAAGGAAGAAAGGGAGAAAGGAAGCGAGGGAAGAAGGAAGGGAGAAAGGAAGGAAGGAAGGCAGGAAGGAAGAAAGGAAGGAAGGTAGGAAGGAAGAAAGGAAGGAAGGTAGGAAGGAAGAAAGGAAGGAAGAAATAAAAAGGAAGGTAGGAAGGAAGAAAGGAAGGAAGGAAGGAGGGAAGAAAGGAAGGAAGGAAGGAAGAAAGGAAGAAAGGAAGGAATGATGGAATGACGGAAGACTGGAGGGAAGGAAGAAAGGAAGGAAGAAAGAAAGGAAAGAATGACGGAATGAAGAAAGGGAGAAAGGAAGGGAGGGAAGAAGCAAGGGAGAAAGGAAAAAAGGAAGGAAGAATAGAAAAAAGAAAGGAAGAAAGGAAGAAAGAAAAGAAGGCAGAATGAAATGAATGAAGGAAGAAAGGAAGGAAGAATGGAAGGAGGGAAGGAAGAATGGAAGGAAGAAAGAAAGAAAGAAAGAAAGAAAGAAAGGAACGAAGGAACGATTGATTGATAAGTGAAACTTTTCATGTCTGCTTCATTCATCTTTTCTGTTGAGAATTTAAAAGATGACTTAATGTCTGCTGTGGTCAATTCACTCGATGCATTTTTCTCGCTTCCACAAGAAGCGAATATTGTATGTATTTCAAGAAGAATCCGAACGCTTTTGATAAAGCGAGTTCTACAAATCTCTGTTATCTTCCTGTTTTCAGATAAAGATACAAACAGGGCATTATTTTCGTCAGAATTTGTAATTAGTAATAGACGTAGTAATAAAGCAAATATATAGGGCCACACTATAACGACGCTAAGCGCGTTTTCTATAGCAAGTATGTTTTTACGGTATAGTTCATCCAGGTTTGAATTCAATGTTGTCTCTCTTCAAGATTGGATACAGACCAAGGATAAAAATTTATCCTGCTATTAACTCCAACCTTGGTGGGGAGTAGACGAGATAGGTATACATATTTTAAAATCATTTCACCCCAAGCAAGACAATAAAGCTACTAAGACGTAAGGGTTTACTGATTAAGAAAGAATAAGACAAAAGGAAAAATATTACTGAAGAAAGAGAACGGTAAAAGAATTAAGAAGACATAAGATGACAATTGACATTGCATTAAATGTCAAATTGCATTAAAATTATTTGTGAAGATGAAAGTTGACTGGAAGGCAAAAAGCCAGAAGAGGGTTCAAAAAGTGATAGGTTCGATAGAAGAAACTGTTAGCATAGAACTTACGGTAGCATCTGGCCATTTCAACTCTAAAACCATTAAACTTTGCTGCCAATTTGGTACTGAATTTAAATTCAGAAAGTCGAGGTACCAAAGATAAAAGCTCATCAGAACAATTACCATGAACATTTTTATAGAAAAGGCACAGGTAATCTACGTTATGGTGGTGGAAACGTCGGAAACCACTACATATGGTGTGCCTGCATAGATCGGTGGCAGAATCGTTGAACCAAGTTTTATTTCTTATTGTACAAATATTCATTAACTTATTTAAGCCAATGTTGGTTTCTTAATCATTAACCAAGTACGAATGTTCATTTTTACAGTTACCTCTATTAATTATTTTACTGTTTTCATATTTTGTAGATGTACAATAGACTGGTTGCATGTACACATTGATACTTACGTACGTATTGATCCTTTCCTTGAAATGGTCTTCTTGGTACAAACTGTTTTTGTTGGATGAACGACACGATGTAGCGAGTAATGCTTAGTGAGTTAGCCTAGATAAATATTACAACTGACAAGTGTATTCGGTGATTAGTGGGTGGCGGATAATTGTGACCTTGTGTCAAACTAAGCTAGGCTTCGTAATCAATAATTCTTTTACCGGATTAGACATGGCGTTTAAACATAACACCGGCGAATCTCATATATGCATTAATCACAGAGTCTTGAAAATTGACATATTTTAATTAGGGGTGGTTTTATTCTATGTGTAGCAGCTGATCAATCACTTAATTTCTTCATTTCTCCAAAGTTTTGTTATTCCACGAAATGGTTCTTGAAAATTTGTTTTGTCCAGCTTAATTAGCAATAGCCTCCTTCACATTCCCAGTAAAAACAAGTTTAGAAATATTTAATTTTTACAGACTATCTCTTTTTAATGATTGCTGTTTTAAGTTTTTTTTTTAATTCTGTGATTCAAATACCATTTATAAAAACTGATAACCAGAATAAATTAAGTAATATGGAAAAGAAAAGTGCTAAAAAACAAACCTAGCATTATATATATATATATATATATATATATCGAATTAATGCAAGTTTATGATTTAGCTGATTGATAACACCTTCAGCATGCCGTAGACGAACCCTCCAACAATCAATCTGTCCACTCCTCAGTGGGTATCAAGAAATGACTGTTCAGATTTCTCGTTTGCGCTTTTCATTAGTGCATGGTTGATTTTTTTTCATAGTTTGTGTGTGTGTGTGTGTATGTGTGTGTGTGTGTGTGTGTGTGGTTGTGTGTTTGTGTGTTTGTGTGTGTGTGTGTGTGTGTGTGTGTGTGTGTGTGTGTGTGTAACATTAAATGTAGGTATTTGTTCAAAAGTTATAAGAAACATATAACATCACTACAAAAATAGCCATTCTGTTTCAACACTACTGGTGTCTAGTCAAGTGATGGGAAACATTGTTACGTAAGCTACAATGACCAATCAAAATACAAGTATATGATAATCTATTAATGCCTTCAAAAGGAATGAATTAGTTTTAAAATTTTTAGCGTTTTCGTGGAGGTACATATTCTAAATGAATTCGGCTGATAAATAATAATTCTCTAGAATATATATATATATATATATATATATATATATATTTCAATATTGAATGGAATGAAAGGTTTAAAAAACACTACTTTATTAAATTTTTTGTTTCAGTTTCGCTTTTTGTCGCGATTCAATTGATATCATCAAAAATGAAACCGCACTAATTAAAAGTACGACTTAACGGAAGATGTCTATTTTCACAGCTAGATACTTTTTTTTTTTTTTTTACAAAGATGGTATATAGCACGAAAGTGTTATTCAAACAGGTTGTTATTCCACATACAGCAACAATCACAACCACAACCACGATATGCCTTTTTAAGAGTAGGTTGAAATATGAGTTTAGATAAAGTTTCTATTCGCAAATACATTCAATTTAAATGTTATTTTATGTTATTTTTAATGACCGAATAGATTGAGCTAATTTCTTTGTATTTAATAAGTTCGAACCTGGCAAATTTAATGACGCACATGGTGAAATTTGAAACGAATTAATTTTATTAAAATGTAAACACACCACGGAGATTTTATTCAAAGATTATGCTGAATTAATGTCTTAAATAAAGTTTATTTAGAAAATAACCTGCAATTCGTTCAGAGGTTGTCCCCTAAATTTCAAAAATCGAACAAAGATACATATCTGTCTGAAATTTCAAGCTTTATAAGCGTTATTATTTCGTAACGCGCCTATCTTAATTTCTAAAATGTGTGCGAGACCAATTATCTCCCTTGCTTAAATAGTGACAAACTACGTTTCACGTTGTGGCAAGCTGCGATTTGAGGTTCTGGCGGTGCCATTATAGATTTTTATATAAAAAAATGAACCTAGTAACAAAATGGACGTTAGTTTAACAGGTATACAAAGTTTCCTTAATATTGGTTCACGGGTTTAAGTGGCAACTTGATTCAGACAAACAAACAGAAATTTTCCATTTATATAGATTATTTTCGAGCGTACATTAGAATGATTCTATATTTGTTTCCAACGACTGTGTTGTGTGTAATTACGAAAATATTTTGTAATAACAGCGTTCTCACATTTGATAGAAACAATTTCAAGTCACTCAAAGTCATATAAATAACATTTTATTTGTGTGGGAATATGAGTTTTTTTAACACATTTCAATATATATTTTGAATTCGTAGGTCTGATGATTTGGATCGTATTTACGATTCCAATGGAATGACCATGGAATATTAGTGTTTAAGCCTTTTTATTATATCCTTACTCTGTCCTAGACATTGAGTTCTACCTGGATCCTTCCTCTTGGAAAATTTTTTTTTTCTGAAAATATACATGTATGGGTATTTTTTTTATATATATATTTTGCATATGTATGTATATTTTCCACTAATATTATCTATCTATCTATCTATCTATCTATCTATCTATCTATCTATCTATCTATCTATCTATACGCTCCCCTATGGAGTAAGTTACCTTTTTAATGTTTGCCGCGTCTCTTATTACTATCAATGTTTCTTGTATAAAACTTCGGTGTTACCTACTGAAATTTGTCTACTGTTAATATTATTTTGTTTATTTGTCATATGTTCATCTATATGTGCACGAATTGCGCAAAACATTGACAAATGACAAGTTAACCTACGAGAGAGAGTGGCGCATGTTTGACTATGGTAGAGATTTAAAGTTGCTAGTTGATTGCTATCGTTGGAGATACAATCTGCCAAAATACATAAGAATTCATAACATTATTTTTATATAGGTTAGATATTTGAGGTGATGAATTATATCTAAGTATTAAATTGGAAGTTTTGCATTTTTTATAAGTGATGATAATTCTAAGGTATTTTTTAGGATCTGCAACTTTTATATACAGGCGGATTATAATTTTGATATCTTTTTCGTTTTTCTTATAATTATAATAAAAAATTAATTAGTCTTTATTTTTATTTTTATCAGTTTGGTTTCTGATATTATTTTTTTCTAAATTACTTTAAAGCTGATTTTATTTCTTCATTAACAACATAGTTTGGGAAATTATTGTTAATACGTGTTTGTTTTATGTTGCTTAATTCTCTATAAAACAAAGCGTCCTAAAATGAAATGATTTTAGCACGATATATATATATATATATATATATATATATATATATATATATATATATATATATATATTGGATTGGCAACTAAGTTCCAGCCCTTTTTTTTTTAATTATGTTTTTAAATTTTGGAATCTATTTTTTTCGAGAATTCTATTTTGGAATCATTTTCTAATTTATTTTGCTTTTTTTCGAGTTAATTTAAGTTAATTTCTGTTTATTTTCAGATCATTAAAATGGAATGAGAAAAAATGAGAATTTTCGACACCTCCTACTGGGAAAGGATTATCCATTACGAATTTCTTGAACAGAAACAAACGGTCAACGCGGAACTCTATGTTTAGCAAATGGAACAACTCATCACGGCTATTCAAGAGAAAAAACCTAATCGGCAGCATGGAGTTCTTTTGCTGCACGGCAACGCCCGCTATCATATCGCGAATATGACCAAGGAAGCCATTCAAACGCGTGACTGGGAAGTTCTGCCACACCCGCCGATTTGGCTCCAAAGGATTTCCACATCTTTCGATCTTTTTCAAATGCTATGCGCGGAGTTTCGTTCAATGATGATGCAGAATTGAAATCTTGGTTGGATGAATTGTTCGAGTCGAAACAGGGTGATTTCTACCAACGAGGTATGGAAAAACTTGTTGAACGGTGGGAAGAAATTGTAAGCAGCAAAAGAGGATACATTATT